TTCCTTTACATAATTTAGCTATACTACAGCCCCCTTCTCTCCTCCCCAATTTCACATCCCACAGCTCCCTATTCTCTCCATTCCCATCAATGCCTGATACCCCCTGTTCTTCAAACAAATGTCCCCTCGGGTGGTCTCAATCTCCTCTCTCCTCAATTCCTGTCTCCTCTGCTGTCATTCCTTATCCCCTCCCTCATTCTTCTGAAGCACATCTCCCTTTCTTGTCATTAGCCACATACCAATCACTGCTGGAAGTCAGGCAGCATCAGGGTCCAGCAGCAGTGACTCAGTGTTTAGACCTACTGCAACACTTTCACTATCTGATCCTAACAAGGGCAGTCTGTTCTTAAAGCTGACTTCAGCTTAACTGGTCAAACTTCGAGCTGTGGGTGAAAGTTCCCTTAAATGTTTTATAACACGCTTTTCATTTTTATGAAAAAAAAAAAAAACATTAAAAAAAAATATATTTCTACATACATTGGAAACATTGGGGTGGATTAGTGAAGGTGTAGATGTAGTAAAAAGGGTATACCTGTATTTACTTTGAATACCGAATCTTATGCAAGTGAGAATGTTTTTGTTTTTTTACTAGCATATGACCGGGTATTCAGAGTAAACACTGCTTCACCTTATTACATTCACTTTACAGAATAGAACATTCACTTTGCTGGGTGAACAGCCTTTACTCCTAAGTAAATAAACATTTTGCACAAAATGGAAACAATTTACTTTGTGCGCTGTTACATCAAGGCCAAAAAGAAAATTCCAAAATCTTCCTATTCCTGCACTAATCACATATTAGCTCCTCTAAAGGCTGTATAATCACAAAAAATATACCAGAATAGGAGAAAACTTCTAGCACAATAAAAGGTTTTCTGTGACCAACACAAAAGGTTTTTTTTGCTTGCTATTATTTGCTCCTCATCACATGTCTGAGTAATCTGCTTTATTACTTGCAAACACCTCATGATCCATATCCTGCTTTACTGTATCTGTCAAGTCTGAAAAGAACAAAACAGGTCAGCCTTACAAACCTCTGATTATTTGCAGATGGCCTCCAAAGGATCATGATGACAAACAGGATCATGGAGAAGAGAAGGCGCCATATAGCATCATCTACCCAGAGCTCCTGCCAATCCTGCCCAAAAAAAATGGTAACGTAAGAGCAGAACACGGCAGAATGTATCTTCATGGAAATGGCAGGACATCCACAAGACTGATGATACCTACAACTAGCACAGTGACAGCACTCATAATGACAGAATTGTAATGACAAGCATGTTGGCTGTTTTCGCTTGTATACTGAAGTGTAAGTAATACCAGGCTACTGTAATATACATACACACAATACGTTGAACTTGATGGACCTGTGTCTTTACTCAACCTCAAATACTATGTAACTATACAATGATCACTGCTGCTCCAAATTCAACTCCAAACTCAGACACACAGGAGTAAAAAAACAAAACAAAACCACACTATAAGGCAGGGCTCAAAACTTCCACTCGCCTGCTCGCTTTTGGCGAGTAAAAATAAAGTGAGGTCGAGTGGAAATTTGGGTCTCCAAGTACCGGTCCGCAGGCCAACTCCGGCCCGCGAGCCGGTACTATCCGACCCGCAGACAGCTGACATGTCAGGCACACGATTGCAGACCACGTACCTGACTTGCGGGAGCAGCTCCACGCTCTGCATCGGATGCCTACCGCAGAGCTGCCCGTCAGCTCTGGCTTCCTTCGGCCGGTGCTCTGACAGTTCTGAGCTCCGGCCGAAAGAAAGAATGTATGTGAGGATCGATCCCTGGTTATCTGGGTGTGATTAGTGAGATCTGCTGCAGGCCTCGCCCCCAGATAACTAGGGATCGATCCTGCTCACAGCCTCCTCCCTGCAAAGACTTGAACAGGTGAGGGGGTGTGGGGGGGGTTGTGTATTATTTTGTGTGTGGGGGAGGGGTTAATAAGGGGGGGTGTATTATTTTATGTGTGTGGAGGAGGG